GTTGTTAAACATCTGAGTGGCGCACTACTGCTACTAGTGGTGAGAAAGTGTATTGCACCTTATTCAAAATCAATGCGGTCCTGCGGCCCTCTGCGGCCCAAAGTTAAAAACTGTTGTTCTTTTGAGGCCCTTGCGGCCCAATTGGTTAAGAATCTCTGAACTAAACCATTATCTTGGAGTAACAGTAACTAATGTCCCTTTAGGTTGTGAACCTGCAGCACAGCGAGATCCAGGACAGAGTCATGCTGACAGGGAGACACATGGTGCGGGATGTCAGCTGCAAGAACTGCAACAGTAAGCTGGGCTGGATGTACGAGTTCGCCACGGAGGAAAGCCAGCGCTACAAGGAGGGCCGGGTGATCCTGGAGAGGGCGCTGGTGAGGGAGAGCGAAGGCTTCGAACATGCTCCCTCTGACAGCTCATGAGTTTTCTCCAGTTTCTGTCACAATACTTGAGTCGTGCACTTAGCAGCTTCGCCTCCAGCAGCATTTGCACACACGTATATGAACAGTTATTGTGAGTGCAAAAACACCAGGGTAAAAAGAAAAATGGACGTTTTGTAGTGAATTTAGAAAAAGGAGAGACTATTATTTTCCTACCTAACTTAAAAGTTCCTACAGTTCCATTGTGGGCTCAGTAGGCGAGCTGTTGTTCATGTGTGGTGGGATGTTGGCCGCTGCTCTCAGATGAGGAATCTATTCAAAGTATTAAGTTCTTAACTGAAACTGTTGAGATTATCGCTGATTAAGGATTTAGTGCTGTTGTTTGCTTAAATAGGGAAAAGTATGTTACAAACCCCTATATTTCCAGTGTGTTTTCAGTGAGATATTTGGCAAAAAAAAATGATTGATTTAAACAATTATTACATTACTTCTCTAAGTAAAATAATAAAAAACGTCGTTTTATGTTCTGCAGTAAACAGGGTTTTAGTTTTACCCCAGAAAAGGTTTATTCTGTTAATTTTATTTTATTACAGTACATTTATCACAGTAAAACATGCTTAGTATTTTAATGTTACTGTCGCTGAGATTTTTCTTTTTCTTTGCAGGATTACATTTAGTGCTGACATGTTATTTTTTTCCTCCAACAAATAAAAGAGCTGAATTTATTTATATCTGTCTTGTATCTTTTTTTTTTTTTAAACATAGATTTGGTTAATGAACACCCACGATTTATACATTTACATTTATGGCTACTTAAAGTAAAATACACAACACTCAATAGAATTTGTATGAACCGTTTGAAGGGATTCCGGGAGGTCAAGGCGAAGAACACGAACGCACCCTTGCGCATGCGCGATAGGCCTGCATGCATTCTGGTTAATGTAGGAAAAATGAGCCCAGGGGTGTTTCTACTTTCTTGTGCGGCTGGTTGGATAGCTTTCGTTTGCTAACTGTGGGTAGTTGCTTTAGTATGTATGGCATGTAATAGGAGCAGGATAACTCACTTCGTTGCTCATCGGAAGGACACAAAGCAGAATAAAAATGGCTGGAGGTGAGTGTTTTATTTGTTTGTACTTGCTAACACGCAAGCTAGCATGCTAATGTTAGCCTTCGTGGCAATAGAGCAAAAGTCCTGTTTTTATCTAAAGTAAATACATCGTGATAAGATTTAAAGAGCAACTAACTGTGTTAATATCAGTCATATACTCCATTTAGCTAAAAAAACACGTTCATGTTCACTGTCGACTGTTGAATAAAAGTTGTTCTACGACTCTAAGAGAAAACCCTTTGGCTACATTTTTCCCCACAGAAAGCGTGAGTATGATCTTCAAGCTGTACTGCTTGAGTGTGATGACACTGGTGGCAGCTACATACACGGTGGCATTAAGATACACACGGACCATTTCAACAGGAGACATGTATTTCTCCACCACTGCAGTTTGCCTCGCTGAGGTCATTAAACTAATACTGAGTCTGGGGATGCTGACCAAGTAAGTTTATCACGTTTACTGAATATTTCATCATGTTTTATTGAGGGTTGAGCTGCACTTCTTCATAAAAAAATGAACTAAGCAGTCTATTTGGATTATAACATCAGTTATTATTCTAACTAACAAGTCCTGAAACCTCGAAGAAGACTATTATATTATTATAAACTTAAAGTACCCGTGACATCAAATTTTGGTGATAAATTTGAATGCATTTTTGGAAACATTGACAACATATTGTTAAAAAAAAAAGATTTCATGCTGCTGAGATGAACAGTTGTTGAGATATTCACATGTGAAGAAACAGGAAGTGATGTCAAAGGGGAACGTATGAATGTGAACAGAGCGTTACAAAAGCAACACAGACTAGAGAATAATCTGATGTTTCTTTAGATTATTTTAATCACCATAGAGAGATGAGGAAGAGTTATAATTCAAATAATATTGTTTAATGAACAAAAATGTTTTATTTCTTGAAGARTTYCCCYTT